CGGGAGAGAAAGGTTATCCGGATTCTGAATAGTTGACGTCAACCATAGGAGAACTATGAATCTAGCTAAAATTGGCTGAAACTGCCCGAAGCTTCTACAAAGTGGATTGGGAAAATAATCGTAATATTGCCTGAGTGGAGTTAAATTAACATGCGCCAGCTGCTGATACACTTATCTTAACTTGCCAGTTGTAAAGACACTTTCATTGGTAATCCGGAACAGGATTTGTTTATATTTTGGCTCTTTGGCCCAAAGTCAACTGTAACTGCTAGCTAGACCTTTCCATAATTGCCTTGACTGATAGGCGTAAAGTTAATGAACGGCCCTTGAATAGGCAAAGCTTATCATAACCTTTGCGTCCGCCCATTTACGAGACGTTCGCCAGACTCCCACCTACAAAATTGATGTTGAGGGCCTACTTTTATCCTATGCCTAGACTGTTCTTGAGCCGGCTTACGGGGCCTCACTTTTATCAACACATCAAAATACAATATTCATCGACAAGGGTTATTTAAATGTAATAAAAGGGGGAGAACAACAGAATTTTGAGCTTCGCTGACAACTGTATTGCTCTCGACGATGCACCCCAACAAGTCGTGAACCTGGTTCAGGGTTTCCGCAACCTCGGGGTTGTGGATGAATTTGGCATGTTCAAGGTCTGCAAAATCTCTTCTTAGAAAAAGGAAAAGGTGCCTTTCTTCTGAACTACCGCTTGGCATTTGCTCACTTGCCCGACGGCCTCAGTTGGGCATTGGTAGTTATCGTGCCTGAGCTACCCTCAAGAATCGTGTTCTTTGAGAAGCATTCGTTTGCGTCTGACAAAGATCGTGTTCCGCTGGAGGCCTGTTTTCCGTTAAATGAAGTCTTCGTTGAGCCACAACGAGGCTAAAGAGGCATTGCATGTGTATATATGTTATTCTCCCTAGGTTTGTTCACATTAAGGCATATGATTGACAAGGTGTGCACCAAAAATAAGAATATGAAGCAAGTCGTCGAGTAGGGCGATTGCAGAAAGGCTAGTTGAATGTACAACGATGACGTGAGTAGACCCAGATGAAGTAGGAAAATATGTCCACCCAGAATGAGAATGACTTTTGAGAGGCCAGGCGATGTGGCAAAACTCAATTACCAGTGCGAAGAAAATTTGGGTTTCGAGGAATCTCTTGTTTCACAATTGTTGAGCTTACCTTCATTTCGAGTGAAAGTGTTGTGTGAAGAGATTCGAAGGTCGGTTCCACCAGAAGACGACGGCGGAT